AGCAACTAATACCCTCCTAAAGCCACAAATCAGTGCTTTTTTTTTGACTGAGCAGGACCTACCTTGAAAAGGTGTAATTTGCTCCACTCATTACACAAATAACCACTTCATCTTAAAATTATTCCTCATACTGCGTCCTCTTAGTCTCAGATTTTTTTTAGACTTTAGTTTTTCTTCATCAGTCCCAGAAATAATGCCAAATCTCCAGTTTGAAATGCGACTAAATCCTCAGCCTTCTTCTCAGAAAAGGAATTTGCGTTGACTTTTCTCCTCTGTACAATGCAATAAACTCAGAAATAAAACACCAGCTAATCAGGAAAAGAAGACTGAACTGACTTTGTAGATACCGAACTGAAACAACTTGTGCTTTCTTGCGGTTGAAAAGTCGAACTGGCCACACTGGATTACTGTATTGGAAAGTAGACAGGCTCGAAGTTATTCGCTTATCTGGATGCGCTGCTGGCAGAACAAATTTCATCTCTCTCCCAGTTCTCCCAGTTCCGTCGATCAATAAAAAGTGCCAAAAATTTTGTCATGAGCGCTTTTCTGCTCGAATTGCCCTCGCCTTTAACTGTTTTCTTAGCCTTGGACGTTCAAAAGTGGTTATTGTCGGTCTGCCAATTGCAATTGCGCTTTCCGTCAAAAGACTCCTGTCATTCTAAAGGATGAATTTATTGGTATCTTTATTTCCAAACCCTCTTGTAAACGTCGAACCGTAATAATTGTCATAGAGTACAATTAACCAGACAGGGTTAATTGATACTCGCACTGTAGATTTCTGCATAGTTGCTACAAATTCTAAGGTATTGGAACACCACTTGCGTGTAAGCCATCCACAAAAAAAGAAAAAACGTGAAGCAATTCTCTTTGATGGACAATTTGGAGCTAGATGACGGTTGGGAAGAACGGCACTTATTTAGAAAGTGGGTGTGCGAAGTATTATTATCGACGGAGGAATAAATTTTAAGTTTCTTTCGTTTAGCTTTTTTGGGGTCTCGCACCAAATGCTCTTCAGGGTGCCAGGTATTTTATATAAAGGGGAGAAAATTCTTTCAAATTACCAAACGTTTATTTCGCATGCATCCATTAAAGAAGAAGTTCTAGAACTTTAAATAAATGGCAGGAAAAATTATGAACTACAGTCAGTGAAGGATGATGCTGCTTAATGTGTGAACTGATCCAACTCGTTTTTTAATCAAAATCAAAAATCCGATGCTGTCTTATTCATTCAAATCACATCAGTTTGCTTGTCTCCCTGTTATGCCTCTCCAATTAAATGAAAGTGATCAGAGAGAATTCACGACTGAACTTGAATCACAGTATCCTTGCCTAGGTCTGTTTTTGCAAATTTCGTCCAGTCTGCTTTTTAACTTTGGAACCGTCACAAGCTACCATGTTGTAAGCCCTCCTATACGACTACACAACGAAAAGCCAGTATAACGTCCAACAGATTGGGTGGAAGCCTCCGCACCCAAAATTAAACCAACAGCCCCACATCCACCAGTTAAAAAAGGCGTCTCTAACGGCTGTCATCTAGCACACGAAGCACCGCTGACAAGCGAAACACAGCTCCTGAAATCCTGATGTCAAGAAAAAGACCACCACCCCACTCACCTAGTTCGAGACCAAGACGGAATTTCTGATGTGGCAAAACAACCCGTCTACAAAATGCAGGCTTGCTGTGTTTGCAAAGTGCAAGTAGAAACACTGCTCACCAGTGAGGTCACTACTACCAACCAGTCATAAATTTATTATTTTAAAACTTGAACAAAAGTTGGACAAAACATTCCTACACGTTCACAATGAACGAACTGATTCATCAGATACTAAAGAAATATATCCCAATATACCAAATTCTGGTACTGAAAACATAGCTTAACACAGAAAATTTCCACACTGCTGCCACCAAAACCCCCAGTCTCATATGAAAAAACCTTTGTAATAATCTGCATCCCCGTTTACTTTCATTTCAACGCTACTTTTTGTAGCCAACTTTACTTTCAAACCTAAAAACCTTTTTCTTCTCTCTCCCTCCTTAAAAGTCTCACTGATAGGAATAACGCAACAACTAATAATAGAGGAAAAAATTAATGTTCGAAGTTATGCTATACATAAACAAGAGAGAAATGAAAGCATTTCTTCAATTGACGCAAAAACAAGCAAAAGATATTCCAAATATCAATTAAAGAAGCACAACATATAAAACTTCATACTGAATTGAATATGCATATCATAAGCAAGCATCTGAACCAAAAACAACAGCTCCATCTCAGCAAATGAAACATCCATATACAATCTCCTTTTGATAAACACAACATATCAAGACTAGAATAGCTTAACTTTGCGCTTAAGGTTAATCCGCTTCCACTCAGGAAGTTTGTAAAATTCTATGGGACTCATCCCAAAAGTCTTTTCAAATTCCTCTCTATCCAAATGACGCTCAAGATGAACACGGTCTACATCTTCCGGCAGCGTTTTATTCGTCGTCTGCAGTTCTTGTAACGGATAAATTTTTGCCGGTTTACTCATGTCAGGTAGTGAACTACGCAGGCCACCCCGACCTTCACCACCTCCAGGTCCTGTTCCGCTAGTATGCATGTCATAGCTCCTCGGCAGAGTTCCGCCAATCAAAGATTCTAAAACAATACTTTTGTCTTCTGGGACTACACGTAAAAACTAACAATTCTTTAATAAAAATTGAATGTGAGTTAAAATAACTCCAAAAAATATTGCTGCAAAACAAAAATGCTAGAAAATGGTTCAGTGCGTGTCAAGTGAGCGATAAAGAATGAAAAGTTAAACTTTCAACGTCCTTAACGTTTAACACATCAATACTTACGATCCGAAAAATGTGAACTAATTGTTGTATCAAACCCATCCATAGATATGTCTTTTCCGTAACGATAACCATCAGGCATCGTTGCTGCGCGACCGCTCATGCCAACGCGAGAAGCGGGAATATGGAAAAATGGAATTGAAGTTGTTGCTGCTTTATCCGTGCTTCCTTGCCAATAAATCCAAGGTTTTGGACGGTTCAAGTGACGCGAAGGTGCTAACAAGAAAAATATGTTCAGATAAACACAAAATAGGAAGTAAAAAGCCAACACCAACCAATGTTTTACTTGACCAAGAAAACGAAAAGCAAACAAATTCGTGCTTACAGGCATTGATAGGCGTCTCGTATCGGAATCGCAAATGCGGCATTTTCTTTGCAGATGGTGTACGACTCGCATTTCGAGGATCCCAATGTAATGGCAATCTTGAATTGAAAGAAGTAGCGAAAAAAATAATGAACGTTTCTTTAAGAAACTCATTTGATGCCCAAAACGACAGTTCTGCTGCAATTTTACTTACCTCTGTTTCTTATGAGCTTCTTCTAAATTCTGCTTTATAGCATGAGCTATTGAAGACTCCTTGTCATATGGATCCAATTGCTCCACTGCTCTTTTCAATTTTTCTTCGTCAATTTTATCTGCTTCATCATAATCATCGCTGTCGTCATCATTCTCCACAGAAGAGGAGGAGAGACGTCGTTTCAATTCTAAAAATGAAAGTGAGCTGACAAAAAAAATGTTGTTGAATATGAAAAGCGACAAAGTTCATGAAAAAGTGCTCATATCTGAAAAAACTGTAAACTTGAAATTAATTTAGGATAGGGGTTAATTTACTTGTACTCGGTGAAAATGACAAAAACAAAACCAACGGGTAATTACTAGTAAAAATTAAAATACGAGCAGAAGAAGGATTATGAAGAAGTAAAGAAGGAATGAGAGGAAACCTCCAAAAAGTCAATCCTCACAAAAATCAAAGTCAAGTTTTGCCATTACCTTCAACAGCATATGGATATGGAGGTGCTGGGAAATCTTCTCGTTCAATCGGAGGAACGATGCCTGGGTCTGGAGCGTGTCCAGCAGGATAATGAGCCATTTCTATCGGCTCTTCGTTATCCATATGTGGCGATTTCGCTCGTGGAACAGAGTTCTTTTCTAGATCTTCCGCTGAAATCAGATTCTAATTCTGAATCAAACGAGATAAACGTACAGTCTCTCAAGTCAATTAAAGGGAAGAAAAGTGGCATAAACCAGGACCTCTAGACACAAAATGCTACTTTAGATTACAGATGTTTCTGAAATATTATTGAAAACTGTAAAGTTTGAAATTCAGTTACCATTTATTACACTGCAGTTGATCAGCGCTTAAAAAAACTTACTTAGTCTTTGCATACCGGTTTTCAGCATCGACATTCTCGATTTTCTTATTTTTACAGGACCTAAAGAAAATAGTTTTTTCAATAAGTAATTCACAGCTTCAAGTTTAAAAAGAAAAAAATGCCCAGTTGTCGCAAACTGTTCATGAAAGAACAAAGAGGTCACCAACTAAAAAATGAGAGCTACCTTGAGGGGCATGAAATTGAGGAGGTTGAGGAGGATGCGGCGGGATCGGATGCTTCAGATATGTCTGCTCAGCTTCTGGCAAGAGATACATATACGTTAAATGCTGACCAAAATGGCTGTGGTACTTAGGTCCTTCTTGAATCCCTTTTTGATCAACCTGAGTTTCTGGAGGCTGCAACACAAGCAAAAATCAATAACAAAACTAAGTGCTAATGAAGTAAGAAATCAACAATACTAATACTCAGCAATGTGTCTTACCCAGAAAAAAAAAGAATAGCTTTCAAGCACTTGATGTTAATAAACGTATCAAAAACTACATACCACTTGGTTTTCGATATTTGTTATCTGCCCGCATTGAGGGTGCCAAATTTCATCACCCTGCATATACATTTCCTGCCCATCTCCAAAATGTTCGCCACATCTCGAACATTTTGCGCACGTTGGATGGAACTTATAGCCGCCAGCCTAAATGTGGTATGCTACAAATTTATTTTATTCCAAAAAAATACTGTTCCAGTTTAGGTAAACTTCTGTAATTAAATCTGTTGTTACCACAAATCCTACAAGATGCTATTATGCTACGTAGTCCAAAGCCTCCAAACTGCCTCATCACCAACAGGAAAGGAACAACAACTACTTTTTAAGAAAAATTACATAAACCAGTCTTGAAAATTAAAAAACACTGAAAGGATTGAGAGGAAATAAAAATGTGATAACAGCTACAACAAAATATCCTTAAACAACAAGAGAGTACCTGTAAAACTTTTCCCGCTATGAATTTATCACATTCGTAACATCGAACCCCATATTTTGCATTATAATCCCGAAGACACAACGGCTTGCCATCATGAGACATATACTCTCCTTGCAATACTGCCGAACATTCTGAACATTTAAAGCACCAAACATGCCACTGTTGTCCCAAAGCAAGTAAAACTTGCCCGCTTTGCAGAGGCTGCCCACAAGCTGCACATGCTAAAAAACTTTAAACCTCAAACAAGAGTATGCTAACGACAAATTGTGACGAAAAAGTAATTCACCTGTAGAACCGATTAGATCGTCCTTCACTTCCATATAGCTCAAAAGAAACGCTGACAGAATTTCATTTATTACTAGTTCCCACCACTCCCTCAGTAAAAGTAATGAAAAAAATGTATTAAAACCGAAATAAAATCACACGACAGAAAAAAAGACAAAAAATTTCTTAATACTTTTTGACTTCAAAAAACATGCTGCAGAGTGATGATATTTGAAGACAAAGTGCTTTGCCAATTTTTTTTCGAAGTTTTTTTAAATAGTGGTCTTTTTTATTGTTAATACTGTATAGCTGTGAACCTTTTAAATTAAATATTCCAAACTACCCTTAATGTAAGCAGCACAATGTAATCTAGAGTAATAATCGTATATAAACATTGCTACTCCCCACTTCACTATCACGAAGTGTAACAAAACTAGTCCCTAGAATTTCATCCTTTCTAAATAAACGTCTTTGTTGTCATGTTTTTTATTAATGAATAACGCTGCTCTCACCTCATAAACCATTCAAATTGCAAAACACAATTCCTTATTGACGATCGTAGCCTAAACCCGCTATTAAAAAAATAAGCAAACAAATAATGATGACAAAAACTGTCTCAGCACCAAATGCAAGAAACAGACCCGTAGGAGAACTGAGAGGAGGCGAGCTTGGTACTGTGTCAACGGTGCTAGGAACCTGCTCTTCTGTCCCGATTCTCAACGAGCTCGTTACAGCACGATAATCGTCAGCACACAAAAATTGACCTTCTGGACCCGAAAAAAAGCCTGTTTCTCTTAGTGATCGTGAGCACTCTGTAAATCATCAGAATTATTAGAAAAGATCAAATAAGTAAAGTTGTACTTCTTGACTATCCTTGTTCTGATAAGACCTGGTCACCAACAAAAATAACTTTCAACAAACCTCCTTCCTTCGCCTTCACAAATAAAAAGCACAAAAATCAGGAATTTAGTCCTTAAAATTAAAGATTACTAGCTTATAACCTCACTTAAATGAAAAAAATGGTAAAGTTCGTGAGGGTATAACGAAGGTTAAAAAGTTAATGAAACTGATAGCGCCCACAAAACCGAACGATATTTACAATAAACAAGTTACGATGCAAAATATTGTATAAAATCTTTAGTGTTACCAAACTGTCCGTAAAAAACAGATGTAGGATACGATGGGTCAAGTTAAAAAAGCCTTCTGAGACCGAAAACACGTAGCTGCAACCAGAAAACTTAAGCCCAAAAAGTCTAACAACGTTTAAGGAAGTAATTTGGAGAAGAAAATAACGCAGCGATTGAAGAAAACCCGCCATGAACAATCCCGGATTGAAAAAAATTTATTTATCAAAACCCCCACACAAATAATTGGATATCACAGATTGGTCTTTAAAGCTGTAAAATTTTCCTTAATACAACTTACTACTCTCTTTAAAAAGCAAAGAAATCAGTAAATTAACAAACACTCCGTACAAAAATTTCGAACCTTTTTTGGTTCAGTTAACACTTCTTAAGGAAAACAGTGACCAATGACGCGTACAATTTCACTTTGATCGAGGTGGCGGCATAGCTAAGAACAAAAAAAAAAAATAAAAAAAACAAACGTACAAACATCTTGTTGTCAATTCCCCTAAAAACTTGTTTAAAGAATATCTCCAACATAAAATTGCGACTAATAACATCTCAGTGAACAAAAAGTTTCAGCAGGCTATATCCTATCAATCATATAAACTTTGAAAAAAATACCTACAAGCTACAAATGTTTACAAAAGATCTTATTTACTATCAAAAAAACCAGCCACATAAAGGATAAAAAACAGCCATTAGAAAGTGAATGCTAAAAATTAATCAGAAAAAAAGTGCTTATCAACCGTTCACAAAATAATACAGCTAGTACAAAGAAAGCGTGTATTACCGGCATCAAAAATATGTTGGAAACTGACAAAATTTAGCACGAAAAATTATTGAAAATATGCTAGGAATTCTACTCAAATGCTGATACTGATACATTACTCTTATATCTAGGAACGCAAAAGTCACCACTTGAAAATTAGAGCGGCATAAATATTAGAATCAAAAATTCTAGCTCAATTTTGTACCATCTAAAATGCTTTGATGATACAACAAAACTTAAAAGAAGTCAAATGATTATACGATATAAACAATACATCCCCGTAATTTTATTTCCAAATCTTTCGCCACAAAAATCCTCCATTGCCAAAGCAAAATCAGGCTTTCTGGGCAATAACTTAAAATTAAGGAAATCCGAAAAAAATTATCCAAATCACATATGACAAAAACCACTGCAACAAGGAAATGATAAAAGAAAAATTAGTCAAAAAAAAAGATGGAAATGCCGATGTTCCAAAAAAAATTTTATGCTAAGCCGTACAACGCTATCAAAATTCCAACGTTTTATGACATTGTATCCAATGGAAAAGTTAATCTGCCCAGCAAAAAAGTGGCAATCATATGTCCAAAGTCTCGATACAGAAAAAAAAAAAACACGTATTTTCACTAGAGTTACCTATCAAAAAAATTATGAATGACAAAGGTGGTAACTCACTCGAACATTTAAAGCAAGAGATGTGTATGTATTTGTCGCCTTCCGCTTTCAACACGTCTCCAGTGCACTTTTTCTTACAGACGTGACAGTGCTTTCCTACAATTAAACACAGAGAAATGTTTTGTAAAGAAAATGAAGAATATAAATTTATGAAATGTGTCAAGAAAAAAAAAAAAAGATTTAGATTAGGATGCTTCCGTGGAATCTTTATTTACAATTATTCAACTAAGAGAAAAACTGTTATTTACCACGTAGAAGGCTACTCTGAACTAATCTAAATGTTAAAGAAAGTAAAAGATGACTGATAAGCAGCAGGTGTAAAAGGTTTGAAGAATACAAGAAAAAAAAACACTTATTCATTTACAAGCGTCATCTATAACATTAATGCCATAATTTACACTATTTTTGGTTTCTATCTTTTTATTCCACATTATAAGCCCAATTGCTATTGTGGTTCTTGAGTTTAAATAAATTATTGTTATTAAGACTCAGAAAAAAAAATGAAACATTAAAAAATTATCCAATGAGTAAACTAAAATAAAAAACTCATCCTTTCCACCTCAGAAGAAAATGTAAAAAAAAAACGGAAGGAAAATAAAAAAATTTAACAGAGGAGCATATGCCAAAGCTCGTTTTAAAAAATCTCAAAAACAGAACTTAAAAAAAAAAAACAAAACAAAACAGAACAAAAATTTAACGAACCCATAACTGCACGTTATACAGGCTGGCAGTACAGCGGCAAAACAGCAACGATGGGGCAGGAATTCCTTTGGTGGACCCAGGTGGAGCTGTTGCACATAAAAGCGTGCCTTTTTCCGAAACACCACAAAAGCGTATTACGTATGTGTGTTTGTGTGTGTATTTGTGTGCTGTGTGTATATTTCTGAAAAATGCAAGAATTGTTTCTACTGTCGGTTGCAGTGTATGTTTGTATGTTACGTTAGTCGGTTGGTTATCGTCTGGCTTAGTTAGTTTGGTTGATGGGTTGGTTGGTTGGTTGGCTGGTTACTTCAGTTGATGCTGTTGATATTGGTTTTGAAGGAGAATAAAACAGAAAGAAACAGGGAGAGCGGCTGAGAGTGTTGTTTTGACTAAATAGTATGCCGAAACCCGAGTACATCCGTACCCCAGCCACCCCACTCTTTCCCTACTTCAAATCTTCTT